CAGAGGTGGCGGAGCCAGACGGGGCTTTCCCACGCAGGGCCCGCGCGCGTCCCCAGAGGAGGTCGGGAGGCCTCTGGGCGCCGCAGCCGCCACCGGCCCCGCCTGCTCGAACCAGCGGCACCCAGAGCGCGCTTTTCTGAAGTCATCCCTGGGGCGCGAGTGTCGATGGCGCTGAGTGTAGCCGTCTAGTCCCCTAGCTAGCAGCTGTCAGGCGTGCTGTGCCATTAGAAGACTTTAATCCAGAAAGCCACTGCAGTGTCTTTTTTTTTTTTAGGGCAATTAATTCCAAGAGGGGGGACGCGGCCTTGGACCATGCACAAGAATACCAGGGGGCAAATCGTGCTGGTGGATGTGCGGTGGGCAGGCATCAAGGGAGCACAAGCTCACAGGCCGATGGCATAGGACAGCTTGGCACATCACAAGAAGCGATCCAGGCCTTAAAGACAAAAAGCTGAACTCAATAATGGTGGTATGGCAGAAGATCCACCAGGCTCTACAGAGGTAGAATCTTTTTTCTTCTTTTTTTTTTTCCCCTAGAAAAAAATGGTATTATTTGGGAGATGGAGAGGCTAGTTTTAGCTTGCATAGTACTCTCTTCAGCTCTTCAATGCTTTAAAGTCCTCAGCAGTAAGGATAGGACAATCTATTAGACAATTACCAGATGCAATACCAAGTAATAATTTAGGAGTATTTACTAAACATTCATGCTAATTTTATGCTTTATGGAATTTAATACATAATTAAGTACTGATGTATCTAAAGTTAATAATTAGTGACACATCATGACAGTGACTAATGGCATTAATTAAATATGAAATAGAAATGCTTCCCAGTATTCTCCTACAGTTCACCAGAACAAAGAATAATGTGAAAGAAAATAATGTTTTCTCTCTTCTAAGCCAGGGTACAAACAGCAGTGCTTCCATCTCTAGCAATTACTGCATAAAGCATAGAAGCACTTCAAAACTTTTGTCAAAATTGTGTGAAAAAGGCACATGTAGACTTGTCAGCAGGCTACTTTGATTACTGCTAAATAAATTTTCATTTTGTTTGTAAGAATGCATACATTACAGTTACACAAATTCTTGCCAAATCTCTTCTTTACAGTTAGTTCTTCACTGCAGATAGTTTAAGGATTTACTCGGTGTGGCTTTGCAGATACTTCTTGTACCTTTTTTAATTGAAGTAATTTTCACTGATTTATAGGAGAAAAAAAGAGAACAAAAACAAAACAAGAAAAAGGAAAATCCCATGAAATGCAAAAACCTACAAATCAGTTTTCAATTTTGTACAGTTATAAAGTTACACTACATGTGCTGTGATTGCATTACTGAATGTAAATATGATTCTAAAATACTAGTATTGCGTGACAGTTGGGAGGGTTTTCTTTTCAACAAACCTGTATTTTGCACAGATCTTAAGGACTTACTAAATTCTTTGAGGGAACCACTCTGTAAGGGACATAAGAAACTATTAAAAAACATCTCCTTAGTAGGGTACTGTTTCTGTGATTTGCCAGTAATGTGGAGTCACAATCTTATTTTCTTACAAAAACAGCTTTTTGAAGGTGACCTGAAATTTTGAAGGTGAATGTGTTGCCCTTTTTTTAGGTTGCTTTCTCCCAACTGCCCTTTCAAGCAGAAAGGAAGCAAATACTTCCAAGGTGAAAGCATGCAATTTCTCTGCTCTTAAGAAAATAAAATAGTCATAAATTCAATTTTTTTAAGGAAAGCTTGCCTAAAATCCTTTTGGAAAGAATCCAAAGTTCACAATCAGAATTTTCTTTGGCTAGAAGAAAAAAAATAATTCTATTGGCTATTCTGCTTTTTTCAGCAACTGAGTCAGACTGAAATATTACTATTGAGTCTGCAGAACTGTATTTTCCTATACATGCCATAAAAAGATATTAAAAAGTCAAAATTATTTGGAAAATGCAGTCAGAGTTATCCAATTTGTGTGCAGTCATACTTTTTTTTTGTACATCTAACCCTGAAAAACTTGGAAGTTCTTCACCGCTTTCATGTTGATACACAGTTAATAAGTTAATAAAATAAGAAAACCACTGTAAGATTTTTGGTTTTGACAAATGAAGGCCACCAACTGGAATTCTTAGGTACAAACCATCCTTATTAGGACTTGAGACATAACTTGTTTGCAGCAGATCAGTTATCAGAAATTATTATACGGACTTTCAGGAGTAGTTTGTTTTGAGCAGGGTTTGTATGTCATTAAAGAGATACATTCCTTTTGAAAGAGCAAACTTGCTAAAGTCAGTCTGAGAAGAGCCTCACTACCTGGAATTTAAGTCCTTCTGATTTGCAAAATGGGCACATAAGTAATGTATACTCAAGCCCCATGATACCCATCTACATTATCCCAAGACGCAACTCTGCACATCACTACTAGCCCTGTATTTCATCTAAAAATCCATCTGCCTTGGTGGTAAGCAACACAGAAATTTGTCCAGGAAGACCCACATTCATACTTTCTACTTAATATTAAGGAGCTAATAAAGCTGTAGATTGTGATGTATCCACAATTATTATGTGCAGCCTGGGAGGGGGAAATCAAAGGAAGGTGTTCCCATGATGGGCATACCCAGTATTCCTCCTGTAAAAAAAGAGCATCAGGTCACCCCACAACAGAAGCACAGACAGAACTGCTGTTTTGAAATACAGCTTCAACACTGTAGACAGCAGTAATGCTGCTACTATTACCTGTAGTGGTAAACAAATTCATAATGCGCATTTTACTGTTTGGATGGGCTACGATGTACCAGATTTGTACAGTACAAGTAGCCAGTTTGCTGAACAGTGCATTTCCCTGTCAAACTGAAGATTTATGTTCAAGCTAATTCAAAGTGTACATCCCTGCTGTTTCAGAATTCTTTTGGTTGTGGGTAGGCTTACAGTCAACAAGCCTCTTCAAGCTATCTTGGTTTTCCACAGTCACGTTAATTATTTTCTGTTTCTGCTTGCCTTTATTCAAGCTATAAAAAATAAAACACAACACTTGACATTTCAAAACATCTTCTGGCTAATGAAATTATATTTGTAAGGCAAATATGTATACATATAGTTGCAAATGCCTGCAGTCAAAGAAACTCCATTGCAAGACAGAGAGAAGCTGATGCAAAAAATCAATACAGGCATTTCTGTTCACTTTATCAACAATTATAAAGGCACACTTTTCACAGAAGAAATCAGCTTCACAAAGAACAACTTTGCAGAGAACAGGCTAGAAGAATCCCAGAGTGACCTTGAAGTTTATATGCTTTGTCTTCAGCTGTGTTGTGGTAGCACTTGTGACAAATCACTGCTAATACGCAGGAAGGCACTCCCACCAATATAAAATTGATAGTGAAGACTTGTCAAAAAACGCATCTTAAAAAAAGGACAGTTTTTCTGTTCTGACTTGACAGTGTCCTGTAATGAAAGACTGCATTTAAATTTGTCACTTGTTCACAAGCACTTCAGTTTACATTTCAAAGGCTTTTAATATTGTTCCCAAGCGTTTGATACATTTACAGCGTTGCAGGCAGCCAACCAGAAGTCTGCTAGAAGCACTGCTACCAAGATCAGTATAGGCTAACAGCTGCTGTGACTGGCTTTGTTTTCAGGAAAAGGAAGCAAGTTTAATGGTTGGGGAAACGGTAAAAAGAGGCAGTTATCTGACAGAACTTCATAACAGACTCATCCTAGTAGGAATTACTTCATAACCAGCACATTTTATATTAGTTTTAGCCCTGCAACTGCTGAATGAAGGTAGGAACATGGATTTGCAGGGAACTCCGTTAACTGCAAAAAGGACCCACAGCATAAACCAGCCCAAAATAATGACTCCATTTCACCACTGATCCTCACTACAAAGTATTCAAGAGCAGCAACAGGTGCCCTACAACTACTGCACAGGAAACATGGTTTGTTGTTGTTTTTTTCCTGCCAAATTTTAACAGGAATGCATCTTCCCTACAACTCTACAACTTCTTTCCAGATAACATGTAGCAATTGCAACTGCCTTAAACCAGCTGAAATAGGGAAACAATGTCACTGCTCAGGACTGAGTCCTGACTGTTAATGACATTTAAGGGAAGTTTGATGGGCAGATGACTTTCATGCCATTCTGGGGCCTCTTAATATTCCAAAGTGCAATACTATGTTATTTTATGCTAAGGCTGGATTTTCAGAAAAGGTATGTTGAATGCCATACAGCAAGTGCACAACCCTCTAAGCAGCACTATGTTTTGAGAAAAATTCTGACAGCTATCAGAAAAATATCTGGAGATACCAGTTATGCATACAGGAAGGAGAAGTTGTATTTTGTTAATGAACAAAAGCGTATTCTGCTCATCAGTTTAGTTTCGGGTTCTACACAACTGGTGGCAGATCAAGGCAAGGCAAACTAGTGCTTGGAACTTTTCCCACCCTCCCACCTCTGTGGTTGTTTTGTTTTGTTTTTTGTTAAAAACAAGACCACTCAACTCTTGACTGAACAGCCACTTGTAGATTTAAGAAAGTGAACAGTATGCACCACACAAACTTTTATCCCGATGTGTTGAAGATTCCATTAGCTGGACGCTCTGCTTCTCTGCGCATTTATCCCAAAGACCTGGTGTCTGCAGGATCTTTATGACTAGTTCCTCAAAGGCATGTTGCACTCCATCTTGTGTCTTGGCACTGGTCTCTGGTGGAGGGGGAAGAAGTATTTTATCTTATTTGCAGGGAGCATTCCATCTTGTAATAAGTTCTTGTGGGACCAGAGAAAAGAATTTTTTTAATGAATGAACCTCCTCCTCCATTCTCCCTTAAAGGCAAAATTAAGTCTCATATGATAGTCCCATATGATAAATACATCTCAGTCTGAAGCATCTCATTTTTCCACCTAAAAAATCCACAACTCCCCATTCTCTCCATAATGGAGAAACAGAAATTGTTCTCAGGTTGTGACAGTAAGTCTACAAGATAATTATTCCACAACTAAGCTAGGAAACAAAGAATGCAGAGGGAATTACATGTTTTCCCTTATATATTTGTTCCAGGTTCTTCTGAAAATCTTTCCAAGTCACTTACCTAGAAAGGTACTTAAAATATATATATATTCCCCATCATTAAATCTTCACATGGTACATTTCATTGTTGGTCTAAGAATATTGTCTTTTATGTAGCTGCAACAGAAACCTGAAAACAAAAGGGAGATCTACCCAAGGTCCTTGCTGACATTGGTCAGAAGAATTCCGGTCTTCTAGGTTCTGCATTAAAAATTCTGCTAGTTTCAAGAGAATACAAAATTCATGCCCTACACAGTATCTAAAGTAAATCTCTTTCAGAGAAACATACTTCTAATTGCAATCAATGCAGAGCATCTCTGAAAAAAAGTTAAAATCTACATCCATGTATACACACTAATGCAGCAAAAGGAACCCAGATTAATTAGGTACTAAAAATAAGTAAATCAGCCTGAACTATAACTGTACACTTCAGTCATGCTTAGGAACATCAAAATAAACAAGTTTTTTTTGTATAGAACTACATACCTATAAAAAGCAGTGAGTGTTTCTTAGCAAACTGCAGTCCTTCTCTTCTCTCTACTTCACGATCAGGCTGCAGAAGTGAATTAAGAACATAACTAAAATAAGCTACACTTGCTACTAAAGGAATTCCCTGGAAAACCACTACTGCAGAGGTGAAGTTTTGCTGAAAAGAAAAAAAGTCTATAAAACCATGTAGTAATCAGCAACTAGATTTTCCCACTCTACAGACAGCTTACTGCTAGGCAAGCTGTTAAGGGATCAAAGGGAACAGCAGCAATATCAAATCAGTAGGAAATTAATGCGTTGCTATCTTCTGAATTAACTAGGAGCAAGATATATGCCAGAAATGAGGTTTCAGGAGTCAAATAGCTGAGAAGGCATATCAAACAACCGAAAATTGACAGATTTGGAAGGTGGCAGAAGAGAACCTAGTTCAGGATAGCCATCCTGGAAACCTCTTGTAGAAGAAAGGCAAGAATGAAACATTTGATTATACAACAGGCATCTAACATATGTCAAAACACTCCAAAAACAGAGAGCAACCAGTGAACCTCAGACCTACACAGATGCACACTCTATAGCTGAATTCTCCTTTCCCACCACCTGCCCAAAATAGCCTGGTCAAAAAGGAAGCAGCAGTTTTTGCTGTTGCACTGCAGTTAACTTCAATGGTGTACAACAGTTTTTAGGCAGAACCTTTCACTATCTTAAGAGAATCTCTCTCATCAATTATATCTCTCCAGGAGAGCCTCCACTGAAATCTTAAAACAAGCTCTGCTTGAAAAATGACATAGTAATTGGAGCTTACCTAACCTAGGTTCCTCAGTTACAGAACGAATCACCTCCTCGCACAACAGATGTATTAGTTTCAGCACTTAGCTCACATTTATACTGTCTATCACAACCAAGTCACCTGAGGAAGGGTGTATGAGGATGCATTTCTAAACTGACCTGATCAGTTTTATTGCCAACTAACATCTTCACAGTGTTGCTTTTGGCGGTATACATTTCCATCTCATTCAGCCAGCTCTCTAGTCCTACGAAAGTGTCTTTTCTTGTAACATCATACACTGGTAACAGAGGAAAAGGAGCTTAACAGCTGTAGATTCTTCAACAATATTTACTTAATTATGGCAGAACTTATTTCCTACTAGCTAACTATTGTTGTGTCCCTCCCAACAAAAAATAAAAAGCAGTTAGGGAATTACAGTAAAATGTACCAACCATATCCCTCTTCCCAGAGCTGGAACACAATGGCTGTGCCACTCAAAGTCACTAGGTATTACAGAACACAAGCATCCCTGCAATAGGATCTGTGACCGAAAATTGACCTTACCAGTTTAAGTCTTATACCTGTTACTAGTTCTGAACTGGGCCACACAATATTTTAAAATAGGTATTTTGTCACTTCATTTAACTGATAACTGCATGCATACAGTGCTGCTCAAAATGCAGATTCTGAGTAAAAATTGAATTCTGGTAACTTCATAACTGCATTCACTTAGGTTTAAAATGCTGCATAATAGTCAGAATGTTTTGTACAGCAAATAGTTTTGATGTACCAGTCATGTTTTTGGGGAAAAAAGTAAAAATATCATGGGGGGGGGGGAAATATGAAAAAAACAAATCATAAAACCCAATTTGTCTTATTACCAGAAACTCACCAAAGCAATAATTACAAAAGTAATAACTGATCCACTGAACAGCCTGCAGCATGCCATCTCTGTATTTTTAATTTCAAATATTTCAAAGAAGCATTATTTCCTGCCAGTGGTTTTGCATACTCAGTATTTGAGCTAATGATGCAGTAATGTAAAAACTGTAAATGTTCCTCTGATTCTCTCAGACAACCTCTTTTTGTAAAGACATGCACATTTAGGTATTAATAAAGACCACATCTTTTGTAATCATGTTTTTCTTCCATATACTTCCTACCTAAAACAACCCCTTGAGCTCCTCGGTAATAACTGGGAGTCAGTGTTCTAAAGCACTCCTGTCCTGCGGTGTCCTACAGAAGGGAAAAAAAACCAAAACACCACACACAGGAAAATCAAATATGTTCAGAACAAAAAAGGTGGTTTAAACTGCACAAGACAAACAAAGTTAATTTTTTCCTGACCAGTAAGGCTCTGTGAAACATAAGACAACAGAATGAGGGAAGCAGTCAGAAAACAGCAGCAGCAGGAAACTGATAAGGAGGGGTAAACAAGAATGGAGGGGACTTGATTGAAAGTTACACCAGAAGTACAGGCAGTACTCACAGTAAGGTGAGTGATACAACGAGAAAGCCAATGGGACTCAAGAGAAATACATAAACTACTATTGCTGCAAGCCAAGCAGCTATGTTTAATCAGATAACAATCACCTGAAGTGAATGAGGTGAGACACTGCAGGAAAGGAGACATAATGGTTCAAAACTCTCCCTTTGCTTCCCCACAGCAGGAAAGGAGCATCCAGTTAAAAAAAAACTACTTAAAGTTTGCTAAGGCTCTAAGCAGATAAATTTAAATTCAGTAGTTACATTCAATTACTACTGAATAATGTCACACATTCTCACAAATCTTCAAAAATAGCTCCTCAGCGCAACATTAAAAACTCTGCGGAACAAACAAGGAGGCAAAATAACTAAATAAATATGATTTTTACACAAAAAAATAATTTATGTACAGATTACAATAGAGAGACTAACAGTTATGTTGTAATTTAGTTCTTCCTTGTTAAAAAAAAAATAATCACACTAAAATTGGCAATATATGTTTACTTAATTCAGGTCATCATTACTAATGTGCATTTGCATCGTTAAATATACAATCTCAAGGTGCGGGAGACTTCAGCAAGAGGCGGGGAAAGGAAGAGGAAAAAAACCACAAAAAGAAGCTCCTGAAGCGTTCACATCCGTCCAGAACAAAACCTACCCATATTGCAAGCTGTACTGCACGGCCGTCTACCACCATTTTCTTCACTTTAAAATCAACACCTAAGACGTAATAAGGGAAGGCTTGCCAGGATGACCTGGCGAATGCCCGCCCCGCAGCCGCCCCTTCCCCAAAACAAAACACCGCGCCCGCCGCTCCCCTCCCCTTCCCGCCCGCCACTGCCTCTCGTTAGCGGGACCCAAACGAAGACGAGCGAAAACATCTCCAGCGGGTGAATTCCGGGCTCACCGATGGTGGGTTTCAGGCATGGTTCAAACGTTCCGTCAGTGAACCTCAGCAGGAGGCTGTGGGGAAAGAAACCGAGAACTCAGCCCGGAACCGAGAGCCCGCACCCGAGCGCACGGCCCGCAAAGCCCGCACCTGGACTTCCCCACGGCGCTGTCTCCGACCAGAATAAGCTTCAGAGTGAGGCCTGCAGCGTCCATTCCCCGCTGCACGGATCGGAACC